CAGTCTTCTGAATGATTTGTTCCATTTATAGGTGGAAAAGATAAAGGAAATGGATAGATCCATGACTCACTCTTTTCTTGATTTTAAACCAAGCAATAGTCTCTTGTTCTGTTCAGATAATATTTTCATGTTCTAGGTATAGGTTTTACATGACACAATTAAGCATTCTGGGATCCCTGTTCTTCTCTGCTTTAACCAGTTTGTTGTGATCCACATAGTCAAATGCCTTTATGTAGCTGACAAAATGCAGACAGACATCCTTCTGGTATTCAATGCATTCAGCCAAGATCCATCAGATATCCACAATGATATCCTAAGTGCCACAGTCTCTTCTAAATCTTGAATGAATTTTTGACAGATCTCTGTTGATGTTCCAGTCAATTTTTGATAACCTTGAGCAAGTTTTTTTGTTGTTTCTGTTGTTATTAACTGCCATTGAGTATGACTCATAGTGACTCTATGAACAAAATGCCTAATGCCTTTCCATAGCTATCGTCATTTCTCCAAGTTCATAGAGTTTTCAAAGGCTTGTGGTTTAGAAATTGGATGTCCCTCCTGCTTCCAAACCTATATTACAACTGGGAGCTCCACTAACTAAACACTGTCCACACTGGGAGACCATTATGGTATCCAATACCCCAATGGCAAAGATTCAACATCACAGCAAACCTATATTTCCTCAGTACAGCAGATTGACAAAGAGTGATCTATAAAGTAGAAGAATGTTCCTCTAAATATAACAACACTAGTCTCACTTAGCAGTGGTTAAGTGTCCTTAAGTCGAGTACAACTCAAAGCAACCTGAACTCTGTTCTCTAATTAACATCACTTCTCTATGGTTATAGAGTTTCCAGAAGCATCGGTTTTAGGAAGTGGATGCCACTCCTGCTTCTAAACCTTAATCAATCTAGATTCTCCTCCAAACACTGTCCATGATGGGCAACCATTATGGTATTTGACACAACTGTGGCACAGTGTTCAGCATCACAGCTACTCCAAGATATTCAGAACAGCAAATAAATTGCTGTACCACTTAAAGAATGTTCCCATCAAGATGCAAGAAACCAGGTTCCAGAGTGGGACCACTGCTCAAGAGCTTCCAGGCAAACCACGGACTCAACCCTTCAGCATGGAAATTAAAAAATACACCCTTTAGCAGGCCTCTGTCCTTGGGTCCTTGTGAGCTAAAAGGGGCCAAAGGCCAACTGACACCTGCTTGTGGAGGAAAAAAAAAACCAAACCAAAAACCCCCGATATCATAAATCAAACACAACCCAAAACTTTCCTTATGTGACTCCCCATTAAGATGCAAGAAACCAGCTTCTAGAGTGGACCCACTGCTGAGGACCTTAAAGGTAGTTTTGGAGCTCTGGTGGCCTAGTGGCAAGAAGCTGCGCTACAATCTAAAAAGCACATGGTCCGAGGCCACCAGCTGCTCCATGGGAGAAAGATGGGCAATCTCCTCCCTTTGATTAACTGCCTCTGAAAACCCACCGGAGGGTCAGCTGTGGGTTGGGTCTGACTCTATGGTATAAAACAACAACAACAAATGGAATTTAGTATTTAGCTGGAGATTTCTCCCTTAAGATATTAAAGGTCTTGAATGAATATGATCTAAGCATGACAAGGATGAGTGGCAGGAACTTCATTTTCTGGATAACAAAAATATGGGACTCTGAATTGTGGTAAATACGGCACTCTTCTCCCATAGGGGAAAACACTAGATGCTGGGGTGAGGGATATAGTGCAATGTTATCTGATTCAAGTGCATACATAACTAGCCTCTGTCCCTCCCTGACAGCCACACAGATACTTGTTGTTGCTATTGTTAGATGCTGCAGAGTCAACCACAACACTCAACAATCCTGTAGAGAGAAGACTTGAATCCTATTCTATCCTGAACCATCCTTATCATCCCTGCTATACTTGGGTTCATTGCTGCAGCCACTGTGTCACTCCAACTCACTGAGGGTCTTCCTCCTTTTTGTTGACCCTCCTACTTGCCTCTTATGACTACATGCCCAAAGGATGTTAGACAGAGCTTCATCATCTTTTCCACCAAGGAGCACCTTGGCAACATCTTCTCCAACAACATACTTACAGGCCTCAAACTGAAATAAAAATTGTATTACAGGATAAGTAAAAGACAAACTATTTACTATAGAATTGAAATCCTGGATATATGCATCGACTGTACTTGGTTTTAATGTCAGTTTTAACATTTACCGGACCCCTAACCTTAACCGTCAGTTTCTTTATCTGTAAAATAAGCTGAATATGAGCCTTTCTAAATTATTTTGGAGAAAATTAAAGAAATGATGTATATACAAATCAGTGTGATATTTAGCTCAACTTAAGTGCAGATTAAATGAAAGCAGTTATTATTATAATTAGAAAGTGAGAAAATAGTCTCAAATTTATATTTATGGAATCTCAAGGATTTATCTTAACTTCGAGTATTCCAGTTTGCCCAATTAATTTTTTATGTTTACTCTTCTCTCAGTACTTAAATTACATTTGAACTAGTGCTCCATGTAAGGAAATAAACAACTGAAGCAGTGGTTAGAGAATTGAAAGAAAAATAACAAGAATCTTTATAGCATTTTTATCAAAGAAAAGTTGCACAAAAGCAACAAAGCTTCAATGTACTTCTTTCATTTTTATTTACAGTTTCCTCTCTTCACATAGGCAACTTGATATCAGGTTGTGTTGCTGTTAGGTGCTATCAAGTTCAGTATGACCACAGCAACCCTATCAACAGCAGATCTGAACCCTTTCCTGTCCTGCACCGTCCTCACACTTTGTAACACACTGGAGTCCATTGCAGCAGTCACCATGTCAATCTATCTGATTGAGGATCTTTCTTGCACAAACCCTCCTCCTTTCCAAGCATGGTGTCTCTCAAAAGGAACAGCCTCTCCTAGCAACATGCCTGAAATATGTGAGATGTAGCACTCTGGCTCTCCAGATTGGATATTCAGTATTCCTCTCCAACACCACAGCTCAAAGTCATCAATTCTTCTTCTGCCTTCCTTATTCATTCATGTCCAGATTCCAGATGCATAGCAAGAGATGGGAAAGACCATGGTCTGAATCAGATGCACCATAGTCTTCAAACTGACTTCTCTCAATAATTTGGAGACGTCCCTAACTGCAGACTTTCCCAGTTCAATACGTCTCCTGATTTCCTTACTACTAATACCAAGAGATTGTGGATGGAAGTAAAAGGAAATTGTTGCCAGCTTCAGTCTTTTATCTATTTATCATGATGCTGCCTATTAGTCTAGTCATGGGAATTTTTGTGTTCTTGATATTTACATGTAATCTATCTTGACAGCTGTATTCTTTGATGGTATGCATCAAGTTCTTCAAGCCCTCCTCATGTTCAACAAGCAAAGTTGTGTTATCTGCATGATGCAGGTTATTATTCCTCAGATTCCTGACGCCACATTCTTTTTTCAATGAGGCCAGTTCCCAAATAATTTTCTCAGCATACAGATTGAATAGAAATAGAGAGAGGATACAAACTTGACTCATTTTTCTTAATTTTAAACCATGCAGTGTCCACTGACACAGAAAAATTTCAGAAAGTGATATAAGAACAAAAGCTAATGGTAATGAAGAAATAAATTGAAGCTTGACTACAGACAATGGCCAAAAAGAAGGCCTCAGGATTCGATGGATACTTATTGACATGTTTCAACTGACAGATACAACCCTACCAGCCCACAGCAGGGATTTAGAGGACAGATGTCTAGCCAACTGATTGGAAATGATCCATGTTTGATTTTATTCTCAAGAGTGGTAGTCCAACATTATGTGAAATTATTGAACATTATGATTAATATTACATACAAGCAAAATGTTGCTGAAGATCATTCCAAAATGGCTAGAACAGTACATAATAGATAGGAAACTATCAGAATTTCAAACAGGGTTTGGAAGTGGGCGTGGCACCAGGGATATTATTATTGATGCCAGATAGACTCTGGCTGAAAGTAAAGAATATAAGAACACTGTGTATGTATGCTTCATTGACTATGCAACTACATTTGACTGTGTGGCTAACATTAAGAAGAATGTTTCAGAACACTTGTGCTCAATATCAGGTATTACGGAGGTAATATCTGGTAAAACATGGTTAAAACATTGTTTAACCAATGGCTAACCATTTAACATTGGGATTACTATGCCATTGAAGGTTTAGGAGAGAATGAAATGAGTTAAATGCAGGAACTGCTAATAGAGTATACATCTGACATATAGAAGCTAATTGATAAGTAAAAGGAAAGAGAGCTGTCCAATAACTTAGTGCTTCTCATCATACTGATTCAGGTCATGGTCTTTCCAATCACTTGATAAACTACTGAGAATTGGACAATGACTATGAATGATAGAAGAATAATTGATGCTTTTGAAAAGTGGTATCAAAATAACAAACAGATATATTTTGGAGACAAAGCTGCCAGAGTATTTCCCGGAGGCAAAGATGATAAAGTTTTATCTCAAACACTTCAAGCATGTTTCTAGAATAGATTATTTCAAGGAGAGGGACATCATGCTTGTAAAGGTTGGAGGGATGGCAAAGAATAGGAAAATCCTCAACCAGGTAGATTGACACAGTGACTGCAGCAATGGTTTCAAGTGTGTCCGAGATGGTTAGGAGGGCACAGGATAGGACAGGGTTCAGATGTGTTGTTCATCAAGTCGATATGAGTCATATTCAACTGGATGGCACCTAAAACCACCACTACCAACAATATTACCCTGAAATTTTCTGTCATACATGACTTCTCAAAAAAAGGGAAAGAAATTTAATGGTACTTAACTTTTTTTTTTGTCTTAATAATGGGTGTAGTTGTGTCAGAGACAATGAGGCTGGCACCAGGTAAGAGCAGGCTTTAGGGCTGTTGTACATAGGGTCACTATGAGTCACAGATTATTCTCCAGAATAGCAACAACAATGACAAACAGTATTTATGGAGTTAAAAATGTGGTACCTTGTAAACAGCCAAGTGTAAGGCTGTAAATCCACTTCTTGTCAGTCGAGATGGGCGGAGGCCTTTTAACATAAGAGTTCGGATATGTGACTTGTTGCCTTAAAGAACAATAAAAAGCAGTTTAACTCCTCTTGGAGGTGAACCTGGTAACTCTAAAATATCCCACAAACTTTATGGTAAATGCCACACCAATGTATGAAAATGTCAAACAGCTGTTCATCAGGCCATTTGTGAAGTTTACTATTAATTGACAGCCTGAGTTAATAATGCACATTTCAACTCCATTTAGAAAGTTTTATATCACTGCTGTGCATTTTGATGGACTTGTGTTATATTTTTATTTAGTGCTTTCATTACCAGATGTTTTTAAGACATAAAAACATGAAATCATTCATCTTAATAAACTACTGATGATAAAGCAATAGATAAAACTGTAGGTGGTAGATGATGTCTCAGGATATTATTATTCTGTAGGGGAGCTGTATTTTTTTTATCAGAGAAATAATGTGGACAGGATGAAGGTTAGGAAATCACTTGAGCTTTGGAAGGATGCTTAGGTTCGTACAGTTATTGTTGACTGGGTTCAATGATTAAGGGATACACAGTTGATACTTGGACTTCTTGTTTAGTTGCGCTCTAATCAAAATACTACTCAGAGCTACTCTGTGAACAACAGGTTAGAACCTTGTCCAATCCTCCACTATTCTCATACTCTCTATCATGCTTCAGCCCATTGTTACCGTCACTGTGTCAATTCATCTTATTGAAAGTCGTCCTCTAATTCACTAATGCTCTACCTTTCTTAGCATGAGGTCTTCTTCCAAGGACTGGTACCCCTGATAACATGTCTAATATGGGAGGTGAAGTTAGCATCCTTGCCTCTAGGGAACATACTCAATGCACTTCCCCCAAGTCAGATTTGTTCTTTTGGCATCTACAGGATGTTCTATACTCTTTGCCAACACCTCGACTCAACGACATTGATTCTTCTCTCCTCCTTTTTCATGATTTAATTAAACATGGCATGGTCAGGAACACCTTAGTCTTTAAACTGGTATCCTTGATCTTTAGCACTTTGAAGGCATGCTTCACCACAGATTTTCCCAATGCACCACTGCTGCAACCATGGATACTGTGGATCCAATGAAAATTAAATCCTCGACAACTTTCATCTTTTCTCCTTCTAACATGATGCTGTCTATTGAGCTTCAAAAAAAATAAAACCCATTACCGTGTTTGCTGTTCCTCCAGTGGGTTTTTGAAGGTTGCAAATTGCACAGAAGATTATGCATTTTCTCCTTTGGAGTTTAAAGTAGATTCAATCTGGCCACCTTTAGGGCAACAGCACAACTTTGCACAGACTTCCTGCCTTTTGGTCCAGTGGTGAGTACTTTTGGTTTCTTGAGGTTGAGATGTAACTGATATTGAAAGCTGTCATCTTTGATCTTTATCAGCAAATTTTTCAAGTTTTATTCATTTTCTGAAAGCAAGATTGTGAGCCTTACTCTAATCTTTGCTTCCTTTCATATAGTCCTGTTTCTTGAATGATTTGCTCTGAAAACAGTTTGAATAGGTATGGAAAAAGTATACAATCCTGACACTTATCATTCTGATTTTAAACTGTATGGTGTTCCCTTCCCCCCACCCCAGAAAACTCCTTCATGACCTATGTTTAGATTTAGCAGGAGCACAATTCAATATTCTAGGATTTCCATTCTCATTGATATTAACCATAATTTGTTATAATCCATACAATCAATTTCTTTGTATAAATAATAAAACACAAATAAATATCTTCCTAGTATTCTCAGGTTTGGGTCAAGATCTGTCTGACATACACAATGATATTCTTCATTCTATGCCTTCTTCTGAATCCAACTTTATTTTCTAAATGTATTGTTGCATTTGTTTTTAACTATCAGTAAAAATAATACTTCACTTGCATATTAAATTAAGTATGCTGTTAAATAACTTTAACATTAATCATATTTTTTAAAATGGGGAGATATAATGGATCTCTTCCAGTTGGTTGGCAAAATTTCACGGCATAGGCTAATGAGCACATCCAGGACTGTCTTTGTTTGTTGAAATGTCTCAATTATTATTCCATCAATTCCTGGGGTCTTATTTTCCCCCCAATGTCTTCAGAACAACTTGAGCTTCTTCCTTCATTATTACTAGTTCTTGATCACATTCTACTTCTTATCAAGTGGTTCAGTGTCAACCACTTCTTTTTGGTACAATGACTGTGTATTTCCTCTTATTTTTACTCTTCCTGTATAATTAAATATTTTGCCACCAGATTCAGTTTTGCAAGTAGAGGCTTACGTTCTTTCACTTTGAGAAATGCTGAACATGTTCAGTACTAACTTGAAGTAGATGACAGATAGAAACTTGGATTAGATGATAGATAGATAGATAGATAGATAGATAGATAGATAGATAGATGATAGATAACCAAGATAGAAATTGAAATTGTCAAAAATTTCAGCTTGTGCTGCCACACAATCACCACTCTTTGCACCAGCATTTAAGAAATCAAAAGATGAGTTGCATTGGGAAAATCTGCTGTCAACAACCTCTACAGAGTACTGAGAAGCAACAATCTTAGTCTAGAGACTAAGGTGCACCAGTTTCAGAACATGATTTCATAATTACTTGCTATACATCAGAGAGCTAGACAACGACTAACGATGACAGAAGAAAATTGATGCCTTTGATATGTGGTATTGGAGAAGAGTTTTTGAACATATGTTCATGGACCACCAAGAGAACAAAATAAACAGGCCTGTATAGGAGAGGATGAAATCAAGTTCCTCTTTGAAGGGCTAGGCTTTTGAAGATCCATCTCACATACTTTGGGTACATGGCCAGGAGGGACCAGTCCTTGGAGAAGGACATTGTGCTTGGATGGGTGGAGGGACAGGACAAGAGAGGGAGATCCCAGAGGAGATAGATTGACTGGGGTAATGAGGGTAGGGTGTCAAAGTCAGTGAGACTGGCCCAGGATAGGGCAGGCATCAGAGCTGTTGTAAGTAGGGTCACTATGAGTCATAGGTGACTTGACCGCACATAACAAGAACATATATATAGACTTAGAGATATATCAACTATTCATTTATTAATATATTTATTGAATATCAACCATATGTCAAGCTTTGATATAGGTACATGGTTTAAACTCACAGAACACATGAACTCATAAAAAACACAGAACAAAATATGATGAAATGATACCCTCCAGTTTAACCCTTATAGTGATATTTTATCTTTGGCATTTATCACTTTCAACGTCTTCTTAATGCATATTGTGAAGTGACTGCTTGACAATATTTTGGGCAATGCTTTAAATGCTTCTGAATTTAACTTGACTCCTGATTGACATGCTCAGTACTGAAAATGCTTTTTGATTTGCAAAAAAACTAAGTGACTTGCTTCAGAGAAGGATCACAATGAAACTTAAATCCTGAGCTTAATCAATTGGAATATTTGCCTGGTTGGTCATTGCTTCGTCTGAATGCTCTCAGGACTGGAGGATGCAAAGCAAAACATAAAATTGAAAATGAAGAGAATTTTCTTGTAGTTTATAAAATACTTTGAATCATTGATCATATACATATATAAACAGTTTTAAATGTAGCAAGTTTCAAACACTTACCTCCACAAATGCAACATAAATGAAGTAGAGATAGCCCATTTTCTGTACGGTAATTTAAATTGACTTTACTGAAGGCTTCATCAGAGCTGAAAAAAAATTTACAAATTATTACAAATTTCATCTTTTACTGTATTGTTTTTCAATGGAAACATTAGAAAAAGAAATCTTTTTTACTATATATTCATAAATATGTGTCTCTTCAAGATATTCTTTGCACCTAGAGGAAATATGTTAAGTATACCTTGATATTAAGAATTGCAATCGAGAAAAAGAATATTAAATATTTGAAGGATAACATGCAAATAAAACTGATTTTCATCCATAGCTGAAAATCTATGTGTTTTGTGTTCTGTGTATAACTCTATTTTTTTTATAACCCTATTTTTAAGGCACCATAATAAATTTAATATCCTTTGTAAATACAAAACATAAACATTTGAAATCAAGTTCACTTTTTTAATAACTCACATTTTCATCACCTCTGTGGAAAAATTCAAGAACGCTCCAATGGAGAAGAAAAAAGGAACAAAACCATAACATTTGATCAGAGATTGGAGAAAGATATATAATCTCAATGTATTACAAATCTTACCTGAGGCAAAGTCTCCTTGTACTCTGACTAGGTCAGATTTCACAGACAAAGAAGGTCTAAACTGTGGTAGGGTACTGTGATACAGTCCTGGGTGAGAAGTAGTGCTAGTGATGCTATTAATGAAATCCTCGCCTTTGTATGAACAAAGACCATTGCTCCAGGAGGGCCCTAGAGAGTCACAGGTAGCCTTTGAAAAGAAATGCAAAGCTAAAATTCTTAACCTCTTGAGGTCATTGGCACTCCCAGGACATTTTTCAGTAGAAATGAGATCATATCCTTAACCTCCCAGGTCAATTTCAAACTGCCTCCTGACTACTTAAATCTCTAGCAGCTTTTTTAGATAGTGTAGTCTCTGGCGAGTGAGCCTTCGATGTCATTTGTAAAGTACTTGCACTTGAAAGGTACTATAAATTCAGAACATTATCATCAAGGCACCCAGTTAAGAACATCAAAAGCAATTGGAATTTTAAAATAGAAAAAGAAAGGGTACTATTCTCCAGAGTGCTTCTAAAAAGAGAAAGCCTCTTAATCTAGGGAGTTTGAAGGACCTCAGTGAAATGCTTTAATCAGCAATGACAAGACCAGCGATTGTTCTTGCTGACCTTAGGCTATTTTAGTACTTTTCCACCACCCTTTTAATGCTCAAGGTCCTAGTAGAATAGTTTACAAACATGCTTGCTTATGTTGAGAAGCATATCAATTTGCTCTTGGGGTGCCTAGAGTAGTACAATAAGTTCCAATGAGTCCTTCCTATGAATGTTAATAATATGTCAGAGAGCCAAGTTGATGAAAGATAGTTAAAAAATTAACTCATATCTATAGACACATTTAACTCATTCATATCTGGAAGGAAATGAATGATGAAAGTAATCTTGTTCCTCATGAAAATGGAGAATCAGAATTCAATAGGATTGTCTGGTTTTTCCAGGTCATGAAATCTTTAGGTCTTTAACACATTCCTATCACTCTTTTTAAGATAAGGCAGCCACAGTCAGATCTCAGAGAGGGCATCTGATGTTAAAAACTAGAGAACAGATATTTTCTTCTTATCAAACATAGCCATACCCATCATTCCTCAACAATCGATGAACATGTGAAGCTTTATTCACAACTCAAAGTCATTACCTTTCAGTTAATATTAACTCCTAGCTGACCCTCCAGCAGATTTTCAGAAGCTTTGGCTTGGCCCAGTTGGAGACCCAGCCCAGAATAGGCCAAAGCTCAGATTCGTTGTTCAAAGGGTCACTGTGAGTCTTAGTTGAGTTCATGGCATATAACAACAGCAAGAGCAAAATCACAGAGAACTTTCACCATCTTCCTCTAGCTGAGCCACTGGTGGGTTCAACTGCCAGAGAGATGCTGCCTTTGATTTAGCAGCTCAACTACCTGTAGATTGCACCAGCAAAGCTCCCTACAGCTTTATCCACTCCCTCAGTCACTGTCTTCTAGTTGGAACAGCCTCTTAGCTGGCCCTCCAGTAGATTTGCAGAGGCTGTAAATCACACAAGAGGAGACTGTCCATCTTTCTCCCCTGGAGCAGTTTGTAAATTCAAACCATCTGCCTTACCACTAGGCAACCAGAACTTCATTTCTTAATTCTAATAAATCCTTATTACTATTAAGAAACTAATAAGCCCCTGCTGCTTTGACCCTATTGGAGAGAATGCAGATATGTTTTGCCAAAACACATACTTACTCTCACTCAGATTCCCCTTCTGGAGCCTTTCCTTTCTCTCTACTAAATTCTGTTCACCTAAAAGACAATACTTTTCCTCTACATTCTTAATTAGACTTGGCAATAATTCTCATATTTGAGGGTGTGTAGTCTATAGCATATGATGCTTCTAACTAAAAGACAACTAAGTAAATAAATACTTGTTCCTCTAGTATTTTTTCCCAAGGCTATAATTCAAAAGGGAACAGAGGATCTGTAATTGTTCTGTGGAGCTGCTGACAGATGTGAATTATTGAAACTGTCAACAGCTTCATCTTGCTTGGATCCATAATTAACATCCTGAGTACCAGCAGTCAGGAAATAAGGAGGCACATTGCACTGGGAATATCTGTAATCAGGGACCTCTCTAAATTATTGAGGAGTAATGATGTCATTTTGAGGACTAAGGTATGTATGTCTGATTCAGGTCATAGTCTTTCTGATTACTTGTTATGCATCTGAGAACTCAACAGAGAGTGAGGATGACAAGAATTGACACCTTTGAGTTGTGGTGTTGGAGAAGAGCACTGAACATTCCAAATGACAGCCAAGAGAATAGACAGATATGTCTTGGAGAGGGTGCAGCTGGAGTGCTCTTTGGAGGCAAGATGATGCAGTTTTGTCTCACATACTTTGGACATGTTGTTAGGATGGGCTAATGCTTGTAGAAGGACATGATGTTGGGAAGGGTGGAGGTTGACAAAGGAAAGGAAGACCCTGGACAAGTTGGATTGACACGGTGACTGCCTCAATGGGCTTTTTTTGTGTCAGGAAGTGTGAGAATGGCACAGGACAGAACAAGACAGATCTTTTATTCATAGGGTTGCTATGAGTCATACTTGACTCTACAGCACTTAACAACAACGATAAGAGGAGCAGCCTTTGGGTTAGAAGCCCAACTCCACCGACTATGCCACCTCTACAGATTAGGCCACCAGTTCAATCCACAAGCGGTACCACAAAAGAAAGATGGGCAGTCTTCCTGTCAAGATTTATAGTGTTGGGAATTTGATATCAGTGACATGTGAGTCAAAACTGATAGAGGTAGATTATATGTGAGTCACAACTGACTGAAGGGCAATAAGCTTAAGTTTGGTGGAGGAGTTTTGGTTTGGGTTTTTAATGTATTAAACTTCAGAAAAATATGACCCTTTGATATTTGTAGGTTTTTTCAGAGTGCAGCTTCTAATGTCCCAAAGTCAATTAATTGTATTTAAAATATATTGAGAAATTATTCTAAAAGGGTAATTAATATAAGCAAGATGTTTTCTCTGTGGGACCCAGATTTGGAAAACCATTTGCAGAAGTTTTTTTCTGTGGCTCTAACTTCAAGTATTAAAAGTGTTCTTAAGAACTGAATTTTACATTTAGTTACCTAAATTGTACTTTCCTCTCCTTTAATTTGTAGAAACTAATATCCATAAATTAAAAAGAAAAGAAAAACTTTGACAGGAAAGTGAGAATTCATATGGCCAATGGTTCAGAAAATTTGAGCTATTAACCATTTTACTTCATCTTTCCTTCCATTACTCAAGAAACAAGCAATAAGATAATATGGTAGTAAGCAAATACTAAGGGCAGAGAAGGAAAGGGAAGCCTTCTTTTAAATGTAAAGGAAGACCTAGTGATTAACCATGTAGGGTCACTATTAATAATAACTCAATGGGAGTCAACAACAAAGAGAAAAACTGAGAAGAAAATAATTATACTTGAGCTCTGGTGATTACTCCATAGAAGGTTGCACTTTTAATCCAAAGGTCACTCTTCTCAGGCAGTTTGAATCCACCGGCAGCTCTACCAGAGAAAGAGGGACAATCTCCTCCAACGTTATTTATGGCCTTGGAAACCCAACAGAGGGTCACCTGTGAGTTGGTTTCACATGCATGGCAATGAGTTTGAGTTTAATGCTAATGAGCATAATGAAAAACCATAAAATAGGAAACAAACAGAATTAATCTTTGGAAATCTTTTACAGCTCTAAACATAAATCTCTTGAGAAAATTACATTTTCACTGTGTACTTCTATATTTAAAAACCATATAAATGCTTTAGTGCTGTAAAAAGTGAAGAGTGATTTTAGCAGTGTATGTTGTTGTTGTGTGCCGTCGAGTCGTTTCTGACTCATAGTGACCTTATGCACAACAGCCCTAAACCCTGATCTATCCTCCGCCAACCCCACTGCCTCTGACACACCCATCCCGATTACCCCAGTCACCGAATCAATCCATCTCATAGAGGGTCTTCCCCTCCTGCACCGTCCCTCCACTCTCCCAAGCATGATGTCCCTCTCCAAGGACCCATCCCTCCTGGCACCATGTCCAAAGTATGTCAGACGAAGCCCCAGAATCCTTGCCTCCAAGGAGTAGCTTGGTTTAATCCTCTCCAAGATGAATCTGTTTGTTTTCCTGGCAGTCCATGGTACATCCAGTACTCTTCTCCAGCACCACAGTTCAAAAGCATCCACTCTCCTTCTGTCCTGCCTAGTCATTGTCCAACTCTCTGATGCACAACAAGAGATTGCAAATACCATGGCCTGTATCAGGCACACCTTAGTCTCCAGAGAGACACCGTTGTTCCTGAGTACTTTAGAGAGGTCCCTAACAGCAGACTTTCCCATCGCGATACGCTTTTTGATTTCCTGACTGCTGGTGCCAAGAGTGTTGATTGTGGAGCCGAGCAAACTGAAGCTGTGAACAATCTCAGTCTCTTCGCCATCCATCCTGAGGCTGCCAATTGGTCCAGTGGTGAGAATCTTTGTCTTCTTGACATTGAGCCTCAGT